AGTGTATCTGCCAAGGTGTTCTGTGATTCTTAGAAGGTTTAAGACCATCAGTAAGGTTCCTTAGACAGCTTCAAAATAATCTGTGAACATCAGGGATGTGATGATCAGGGATGGAAGTAAATTTGCCTATATTTTGTTCATTAATGAGCTGAATACCATCATCTGATCTACAAAATACCAAAGGAGAATCAAAAAAGACCACATACACCAGTCTAACTTCAAAGATATGCACATGTAACCGCACATACATTATATTTATAACAGATCTGCTCGGGTCCTTGATCTGCCTGAGAAGTATCTCTTACCAACACTTACTTACAGATGAACTTATTTCTGATGCTACTATTGCAAGACTACGGACACTCAGTACAGAAGAGCGCGAAAGAGGTCTCTGTTAGACATCTCTGTTAGACATCTGAACTTATGTCAGTCTAACTCTGAAAAGGTTCTAGCTCACCACCTTCCTTTTCCACAGCTAGACCTTAGCTACTTCTAACGTGGCTCTCAAGCAGTTTCCTATATTATCCTAACAGCTGCTGGTAGCTCTTTCCCCAGCCCACAGGGGAAACAAAACATAAACTAACTGCTCGTGGATCAGATTCTGTTACATTGCTCGAAGGGCCTTCTGGCTTGGACTCAGCATCCATTTAACAGTGGAGGCTGAACATGCGCAACACATTCCCCTACACCCTTTCAGAATCTGCCTATTTTCTACGTATCTACAATTCTCCTGTGCTAAGATCTCAGCTAAGATCTGCTTGGATATGAAACTAAACCAAGTGCTGCCAGTATCCCTTGGTCCAGTGGGTAGTAGTGTTGAGAGCACTCATTACATGCCACAACTACAGCAATTCCTCTATCTTTCGCAGTCTGTTCTGGTTACATGATAGAAAGGATGTTTTCAGCCTAAAAAGCAAACGAACCCACCACGTTTTTTAAGGTTGTCCTTCTGCCACTTCTCAATCTTTTTTTCTTGCTAGGCATTGTAATGGAAGCTGTAGTGCATTTGTATTACATGTAAAAATATCAATTTTTTAAACATACGTACAATTTTTTAGCAGGTAAGAAACAAGATCTTTGTTGATTATCAAGAAATCTGTAAATTTTCTGCATTGTAGCACAAAGTGACACACTTACTTGTTCTTTTTCCTATCTTTTGAATTAAAGTGATATCTGTGTTTGCCTCCTTTGTTAAGCTCCTATCAGTAGCTCCCTTTTTTTCTTTCAACTTTCTTCAAGAAGCCTATTCTTCAAAATGTTACATCTCCAGCAAATGTTGTACCCCAAAAAAGTAACTTTTTTTGACCAGTACACTCATTGCTGAAGAATTACGCGGTCAAGTGGAAAGTATTAAGAAATCTAAGGAAAACAATCTTATTAAATTTATCCCTTCACTTTCCACCACCTTAATTCTGGATTTTAGATGAGCAAAGCCAAGCAAATAACCCCTCTATATCACATTCACTAAATGCAGTGATAGCACTGTTGGACTTGCTCACCCGTTCTTCAGGAGAGGTATTTTCATCCAAGTTATTAAGGGCATTTTCCACCCGAGCCAGACGACCTGACAGTGACAGCAGCAAGTTGACCACTTTGTCCAGGTCCCCGATAAACATCTTGAATTTGTCGAACTCGTTTGGTTTGCAAACTTCTTTCACAATGGCCTCCACCTCCTCCCCCAGTATGTTGTTGGCTTGGATGTCTTCCAGAAGTGTCTCTCGTGCTTCCCTCAGCACCTGCAGCTTCCTACTGATGCTGTCAATGAGTTCTTGCTGTGGAAAATAAAAGGGATGAGAATTTATTAGCACTTTTGCATTTTTTCCATTTCTGCTTCTGAAAGCCATCCTGAAAACTTCATGTAGCTTTGAAAACAAGTGTATTACAAATGAATATACACCTAAATATATGTCTACAGTATCTATAATGTGGCTGGATTCAAAGAATCAGAATATAGGTTCACGATGCTCAGCTTGAGACACCTGTGTTTAAGCAATTCACCTTTGAGGCAAAAGATGAAGCACTTTCTTTTTTATGACCATTGCTGCTTCTACTTTGAAGTGCTGCTTTGAAGTGCTACAGAGCAGCACAAAGCGCCCTGCGCATCCCCCTCTCTCAGTGCCACGGCCGCGCTACCTTCCAGAGCAGCCACGCTCTGGGAAGATAACAGAAAACTAGGAAAACAATCTGGTATTTTCCACATCACACTTGAAACTGGGGCACTGCTCAGCCCTTTCTTCTTTTCTGCATGATACCAACCTCCCTCCGGAAACAGTCCTTCTACTCTCAGGAAATCTGCAGAGTGTCTCCTGCCTTTCCGTCCTTGTGCGAGGAAATCCCAAACCCTGGAGCGCCAAACGGGAACTGGAATCTCCCATGGCCAGAGCAGCTCTGTGCAACGCGGCTCCGACGAAGGAGCACCCCAGCTCCTCGGCACGCTCCTATGCCAGGCAAGCAGCACCGCGCTTGCAGCTTGGCAGCTCAGCTCCACTGTAGCCCCCCTTCCCTTGGACACCCAAAACCTGGCCTAGGAAAAGCATTTCAGGTGAGCAGCTGGTGAGGCAGAGCTAGAGCTTATTTCAACTGGTCATCTACCCTGATTTAGCATGAATCCCACCCTAAAAATGCAGCGTTCATTTAAATGCAGATGCCTACTTAGTATTCAACTGATTTCAGGTAAGATTAATTCCCTGAGTGTTTCTCTAATGTCTGCTATTGCAATTTCTAAATGAAAACTGCATAGTAAAAAGCAGTTGTTACTTTACCATATCCTCCATCTTTAAAAAAAAAAATTACTCATGACATTCTTTGGGAACTGTGCTTTCCAAATGCAAATCTGCCTCCACGATTACTGAGAAATACGTTGATTCTTAATCCTGCTCTCAGAGGGTACTGTGCAGTCATTGCCAATTTTAGGGGAGAACAAACAGAAATCTGCCATTTTAACAGAAAGCAACTAACTACTCCCTGAGAACTTAACAGCCTTTTTGAAAGCATAAATTCAAACACATGGATTATCTGGGCTGGTTCTCTTCTTTTTGATTTAATATATTTGGGCCAGGTTAATCTGGATTCGAGTTATCTGTTCGTCTGGGTGTCCAAAAGATTAAAGTAGTAAGCAGTTTTACAGATGCCTGCTTTCCTGACTGATTAATGTGCAGGATTTGATTTTTCCTCCCCGCTCTCCATGCAAAGGCAGTTAGATTTGGATTATGTAGGTCACACTCCTGTTTCCCTAGACGCTGTGCCGCTTAGCCGCGCTGCTGCTTCGCCGCGTGACGGCAGCGGCGCAGGCGCCTGCTCCGCACCACTGCAGTTTTCGCTTCTGCAGCAGTGCTGTGACTTTCTAGAAAGCAACACAGAACAAAAACCTGCTGCTCAGGATTTACCCATCTGGACTGGCAGTCCAGACCAGCTATCTTGTCTATAGCTACAGAAAAGCTGTTTTTTTGTTTTGTTTTGCTTTTGAAAGAGAGTAGTCTTCTCAGCAGCACCCTGCCTAGAGGCCTGCAGATAGCTGTGGCCAGTCTGAGAAGGCCCCCTGGTAAAGCTGTTCTGAAGATTGCCACAGGCACTAAGAATCGTACAGCGATCATGGACTGCACCTGACCCAGATGCAGCAGCCTCCGGGACTCACCGTGTGGCTGCGCCAACCGGCAGAAACCCCCGCTGCATCTGGGACCCGAGGAGCCCAAATACGGGCACCGAGCAGCTTGGAACGGCCAGGGGAGCGCTTTGTAGCTGGGAAGCTCCACCAGTAAACAAGACACTATAAAGCTGATTTTCTTCTGGAAATACTCGCTGATCTGACTAGCACCGCGCGAGCAGGGAGCCCAGCACAGCGTGTTGCTGCTCGGGGCTGCTCCATGGCCTTCACCCTGCTCACGGCGCTTTGCTCCCAGCTCAGTTCACATCAGGCCTGAGCCGGGGAGAAACACGTCCTCCGTAAACACCTGGATCCTGCGGGAGCTGCTGACACTTTCCTAACGGCAATGAGTGCCCTTCCCGTTTGGCCACACGTGGATTTTCCTCGTTACTAAAAACATTTTTGTAGCATCATCAGCATTTGTTCAAATCCAGTATTTTTATAATTACAGTAAACCTACTTTAAACTCAATACACATTCCTGCAGGGAATACAGGGATTGTCGTGAATAATTTAAAATGGATTTTCTGAAGTACATCTATAGGAAATTCCTACACTTCTTTCAAATGCATATCATCACTTTTTATCTGCAAAAAGGAGGGAAAAGACAGAAAGAAAAAAACCCATGACACAAGAAATTTCTGGCTTGCGAAGCCTAGAAAAACAAGTATTATCATCATTCCACAGTGGGCTGAAATTAAGATAACTCATAACAGAACTGATCAATTTTTAGGAATCAAGGAACAGGTTTTGGGCATACGTCTCTTCTAAAAACAAACAAACAAACAAACAAAAACACAAACTGTGTTATTGAAGTGTTCAGGCCCTTAACATTTCTCTCTTAAACTGCTGCCAGCTAGGTGAAGTAGAGCCAAGTTATATATCCTGATTGCTTTATAGGGATCCTATGACCCACTTACTGCCAGCTATACACGTTCTCTGAGAAGATCTAAGATGAAAGCCCACTGAACTGAGTGCTCACATTTGAGTGCACGAAGAGGAGCCGCAATACGGGTAGGTGCAGAGAAGCTGGGGACACCCTGCTAAAAGCTCTTCATGAAATATTTCTCATTTTACTTGGTTAGTGGTGGAGCAGAGGAATGGAGACAGGGAGAAAGAGCTTGTAAAGGGGAATATGCTTTGTGTCCTTACAGACACCAACACAAATAAATGACATTTTGGCTTATAAAAGTTTTAGTTTGTTGGGCAAAGAAGAAAATTTCAAACTGCGCCCCCACCTACTCTCTCCATCATTTCCATCACAAGATGGAAAGTAATTGTAGCAGAAACGATGAGTGTGACTCTCTCATATGTGGAACCTGATAAATAGATTCCAAACGCGGCAAAATCCTTAATTTGTCTAAGTAGTGCAGCTGTCAGTGCAGGTACTGTGCAACACAGTGAGCAGAGGAACAAGAAAAAATAAAAAAGAAGGAAGATAACACTACAGCCTCCTCAAATTCAGCAGTATCCACTCGTGTTCAAAACACCACTGGAAATCTCTTATGGAATCTCACTCTTAAGACTAAATGTATTTCTAAGGGCCAAATTAAAGGGTTTCTGTGAGACTGGGTCACACTGGTGGTTGATTATTAAGCAGAGTTAACATCAATGTAGAAGATTTGCTCAGCGTTGTATTACTTGCTTCTCTGAACAGTTAAACTATCACTTTAATTTAACAAAAGACCATTTCCTTCAGTTTATCAGTACTCGAATAAAATATCTTGTTTTAAATCACCAATGAGATGAGTGGGATGATCTTAATGGAGGGTCGGTGATTTCTCAAATCACAAAAAATATCATCATCATCATCTTTTATTTTCAGTCCTGGAGTATTATTATGTCGACCTTCAATCATAAATAAAGCACCAAAGGATGGTGATGAGGATATGGACGAACAGGAGTAGAGAAGGCTGCCTCCCTCCTGGTGAATAACTTGCACTGTATCCCCCAAGCTGATTAGCTAGCACATGCCATTACTGCTTCTATTGCTTTGGGAGGTAGCAGGAGTAGAAAGGAAAGCAGTTTGTTGCTCAAGAAAGCAGTTAAAAAAAAAGGAATTCCCAGCACTACAAACGCAAATCCATGACCTAAATTTCAAAAATATGGAGCAACTAAAAATGCCATCTGTTAAGAGTGGGATACGTAAGCACTAGTACGTGTTTTGTACATAGCAAGTGAGAAATACACACTAAAGCCTCTCAGATCAAAAACATTATTTTGAAATAAAACCTCGAAACGCCTCCCTACTCCTTCCTAAAAACATGTGTCAAGCCACAAAAAGCATCTAAACTGAAGTTCCTAAATTCACAGCTGGACACTCAGAACACAAAACAAAACAGAATTAAAACAAAAACAAACAAATAAAAAACAACAACAACAAAAGCCCTCCAAACCTGGAAGACCACACATTTAGGCTGATTTTCCCAGTGGTCCTGGAGGTCCACATCTAGGAGGCTTTTTACTTGGGGATCTTTGAATGGTAGGTTACCGAAGCACACGCCACTTAGAGCGTCCCATTACCCATTTAGAAAAGTCTGTTACCTTCTTTTCTGACAAGTCATGATCCAGCTCATCTTCCGAATCATCTTCACTCTGCTGCTGCTGTTGCTGTTCCTGCATGTCCTTCATTTTAATCAGTAATTCTGCCTTCGGCGCAGATGTGCTGTAGTAAGTGGAATTGGTTGTCAGGGATATAGCAGATGGCACATTCTGCTCCTCTTTCCTGATAAAAAGTCGAAACTTTCATTAACTACTTTTACCTCCTAATCACTAAAAAGAAGAAACAACCTGTTAGAGTCATCATTTTGCCTAGTAAACAGGGAATCAAGAGAAAAGAGTTACCTATGGGAACAGCACATGGCCAAATGTCTGGGGTGGGGAAAGAGGACATTTGGTCACAAAAGCTGATTATCTACAAAGGCAATCAGAAGAAATATGGATAGAGGTCAAAGAAGGACAAGCGGACTTCAGCAGACTTCTACAGGATAAGCAAACACTGACTGTGAAGAAAATTTGTGTGATTTCAGCAGAAGACCACTCACAGCTAAAGCTGAAATAGTAGGGAAAAGCCTTCACCATTACAGTAAGTGAAACACAAGCGAGGCAGCTGGAAACAAAACGTGATGTTCCATTTTAGTAAGCAGTGCAAAGATCTCAGTGGCACTGCCATTGAGAATACAATGAATGAAATACCCTTTCAGGCTGCCAAATGTAGGATACCGCACAGTAATTATCTTTGTGGACACAGAATTACACATGAACTTGCTGAGAAAGCTACAATTTAATTAACGCTCACATCAAGAAAACAAAAGACCTGTAAAACATCAACATAATTTCATTGGATTTTAAATCCTTTTTTTTTTTTTTAAATTAACAGGAAATGCCTTATGCCCTGTTCAAGTTATCTTCGTACATTTTTGTAACACAATAAAGGTTAAAATATTGCTCTTTCTCTATCCTAGCCTGAGTGAGCTTGCTAAACTACGAATGGGAGAAATAAATCATTCCTTAAGTTCTCATATGAATAATTTTCAGCCAGATCTCAGGTAATTTTTTATATTATAGAATATTGTTCTTTTCCTGATCATTAGTTATATCATTAGTGTTAGTATTAGTGATTGTTATTTTAAAGGAAAACCCTTGGAAAAGCCCCAAATCTAAACAGCATGAAGATCATCTTTAGCCAACTTGGAGTAACAGACATGTTTTGGACAGCAACTTGCAAAGAACCACTGGCCACAGAAACCAATACTCACTTCTCTTCTGAAATTTTCGGAGAAGGAACTTTTGGCAGGAGCTTCCTGCGCTGCTGAGCTTCTTCTAAGAGATGTTCATCTTTGGGGAAGATTCCCACCATCAGGTCCATTGTTGTTTTTATTTTCATGTTAGGATCTAATATATCTGCTAGAGATTTATCTCTTCCCACAATCTCTCTGGCTAGTTCCTCTGATTTCCAGTCTTCAAAAGTCTTCTCTTTGGCCTTTACATAGCTGACTGCTGGGGCTGCAGCGCTGCTGTCCTTCGCGTTGCTCCCGGGTTCTTCAGCTGGTTGGGGGTCAGCTGGTTTGGTTCTGCTCTCTGGCTCTACACCTTGCCTGGTGTAAGCACAGAAGCGTGAATAGGACTGCTCAGAAGTGCTGAGGGTTTTAATCTGGTCCTTTTCCAAGCCACTGGGTAAAGCAGGAGGCTCCATGGTGCTCACAAGGCCTTGCCGACTCTCCTTCTCCGCACTGCTCTCTGAATGAACGATCTTGATGGGAACCATTTTCACCGTAGTATTGTTGTCTATAACTTTCTCAATTCTGAAAAATGAGGAAAATCCTTCTTTAGAAGTGCAAGAACTTTACATCCTAATTCTTATCCACAAATCAGAGAGGAAGCCCAAATACAAAAAAAGTATAAACAGATAAATGATCTATGTAATGGGATGTTCCTTGAATGATATCTCAAGCCCTTAATCTGCATTTTTTCTTTTCTGCCTGAACATTTTAAATACCATTAGTTCTGCATATACATATATAGGTAATGCTAACATCCATCTTGCACAGCCCTCGCCAGACAGGACTTCTCTTTTGTTTTATGAACACAGGGGTCTAAACTCAGCAGCCAGATTCCAGTTTTGAGATGGTGTTGCTGAACACCTCCTACCCCTTTGCTCTTACCCCACAGAAGAAATATGCCTCTGGCTCAACATCATTGTCTCACATGTATCCAACAACAGGCTCATCTTCTGGCCTGACTGCCTGTTTAGCTGCCTGGGTGGTTTCTGATGCCCTAGCATCAACTTCTGTTCTTCCAAGGGAAGAGATAATAAACCAGATGGAAACACTCTTCAGTTTAGGACTGTGCTGAAGTACGAGATTAACAGACGATCATATATGGAGAATGTGGAAATCATTCAGAACATAACTAGATAATTTAAAAAAAATCTGTATTTGTAGAATTTCACTCAAGATACGGGAGTTTAGTAAACAGAACCCACTAGTGTCCTAGTTTTCTAGATGAAGGAGGAAAAAATAAAAAATAAAAAAAATCCAAAAGGATGATGTACACAATTTTGCACATTTTTATTTTCTAGAGGGAATTCTCCCTGCAAAATACAAAGGGACTTCAATAGGTAAACCTATTTAAAGAAGAGGCTAACTTAGATTTTAAATTAGACAATAACATGTTAAGAACATCTGTACTGTTTGTTACCATATAAAAAAGTGAAGTCTAGTTTGGTGGGTTTGAGCTTGCAGAACGTTTAAAATTGTCATAATGTGGGTTTGGAAGCTCTGCTGCAAGCAGAGGAATGCTGTCTGCTGTTAAAATATCTGTTTTCCTCTGGCTCGCTCGCTTGTCGCCTTCCAGATAAGTGGCTGAGCCACACTGTGACTCTGCTCCTGTAAGTATGGCTGTGTTATCTAAACTTACTGCACTTCACAGTGAAGAGAAAATCTATTAGACATGACCTCCTTCACTTCTATCTTGCATTTTCAAGGTAAATTTGCTTCTCAGTGTACAGTCTCCAAACAGATGCTCACTTTGCTCCCTCTCCAAGGGCTTTGTGGGAAATGCTTCAGCACTCTTGGGGTCCGAGACAGCTTTTGGGGCAGGTTTTCCAGCCCGTGCTGAATTCCAAACCATGCCGTGGAGCTTCAAGCTCTGAGCCAGGCCGATGGCCCTGAGGAGAAGCGGGGTTTCCACTGGGAACAGGCCCTGGCTTTTGGGACCTGTCTCCATGACCCCGTGGACACCTATGAGCTCTGGACACCCGCCCGCACCCTCCACGACTCAACAGCTGGATAGCGAGCCCCGTGTCTGAGACTCCAAGTACATCATTCCCTTCCTAGCAAAAGATGTTCCAGATCAAGACAGGCACCGTCAAGGCAGGATTTTGCTCAGAGCAGAGACAGTCCTAGCTGCTTCAGAGATTCCAATTAAACAACCAACATTCCTGTGATTTCCTAAGGTTTTACAACTGCGGAGCTATGGCACAAAGCTTTAATTTGCAGCAACTCTGTTTGTGGCTACTATGAAGCTTTAGTCCAACCACGAGCCCAGTTATCCTTCACTTGAGTGTATTTACTGAAAATCTCTTGAAGTACCTCTAATGATATACACTCTTCATCTTTATTACTACTAAAGATCCTTCTGCCCTGGAAATAGCTGGGTTTTTTACCATCACCCATATTTCTCCACACTACCTAAAATGTTGCAGGAAAACCTTGCACACTTGCTTGGTTTATCAACAAGATATAATCCTCAAAGAAGAGTAAACGGGGGCATACTGACAACATTAACCATTAACTGCCTACACCATGCAAACTGGCATGTCTGAAAGCTCACAGGCAAGAAGGCAGTAACAAATAATAACTCAAATCTAATTCATTATTACCATACATTTGCTTGACATATTTTACTCATTTGAAATAAACACCACAGCACTTTGCAGATAGTCTACCTGAGTCTCCATTTTTGCAATACCTTTTTTATTAGATAATTACTAAGCGAGAACAATAAATTGCACACAAACAAAAAAACTGTTTGTGTACAAGATTTTAACACGTTAATGTAAGATATGCAGGGTAAGTGCCTCACTTTACTTTCAAAATACCACTCAGATATGAGCCTATAATCAGGTGCACCTCAGTGCACATTTTGACATTAAAGCTTAGTAAAAAGGAAGGCCAAATTCAATTATATTTCTGTGCATCCTTAATATCTATTCATAAAGCAGTAAATTAAGGAAGTCATTACTGTCATCTACCTTTGCGCATACATGCTAGAGATCACATGCCATATTGCACTTTTGATAGTAAATGGCACTAATTTTGCTTTCTCTTCAGAACACTGTAGGATGAAATTTCACTATTTCCTCCTCTCACAGCAGAAAGGACATCAAGACACGTTTAAGATGCACAAACTAAATTAAGTCAAATTTATGTACCTTTTCCTGCCCCCCCAGAACTTTGAACTTCAACTCAGGGCCTCTAGTTCTTTATTGAGGCAATTTATCTAAACTGCCTCTTTATTGAGGCAAAAATAAACCAAGAATCAGTGTTAACTTCAAGAGACTCGTTAAAAACAAGTTAAGAATTGTTTTGACACTTGAAGTGTCCAGAAAGAAATACTGATTTATGCTTGCTATGTCAAAAGGCACATGGGAAAGCAGCATGACTGAGTCTATTCAACTATTCACGTTACAGCAGAGAAAAGCAATTTCATCTACTTTTGCTAAGAAAAGAAACCTCCATTGATTTTCATTCTTTAACCATGAATTGCAGCACTGTAGGACTTATGAAAACGAATGTTCCTGAACTTCCTGCAATAGCTTATCATCTTGCAGGAGGATAACCTATGACATTTGCAGCATATGATAGAGACAGAAATCTATTGACTTTATTCAGTTTGTCTAATTCTGCGTTTATCCAGCCTGAGAAAGGGCTGACGTCCTCTTGCTGAATCCTCAACCCATTTCAACATAAATAGCCCTGCGGAGCCCTGAGCATCCAGTGATGCTGGTATGATGCCAAATTCCATCATAAAAGGAACATGAAAACAGTCGTAATTTGGCAGCAGGCCTTACTGTGTGAGCTTCTGAAACAGCTGTTCTGGCAATGGAAACAGCCTCCCTTACAGTATTTGCTTTGTCCCTACTCTGCTATGTGCAACTGTGGTATGGAAAATGATGACTGAAAGGGAATCTCCTAACTTAGCCTGGATTTACAATAGATAACCAATTTTAATGCATCCCTTTCATTTTCCACTATCTATTAGCTACTAGCATCGGAGCAGCAACCCTTGTTATTCAGCATCAGTCAACTAAAGAAACCACAGACCAGCTGAGGGCTTCTAATGGTATCAACTAGAATTTCTTTATAAGGAAAAAATCTTATTAATGTCCTTTAGGTCCCTTTAGGACATGCTGAAAAGGCTTGCAGTTAATGAGCCCAACCGATGTGCTTTTGGTAAAGAAACAGAACAAGCAACCTTACTAAGGAAGAATGGGCACAGAGGCTTACTAAAACAGCACAGGAGTTGTGTCTGATACCTGGCAGGGTTCTCATCCTGTACAGACACAGGGGGTTTATCAGTGAGCTTCTGTGGCGCAAACTGAGGCGAAGGGGACCTTGATGTTTCCATCTCTGGTTTTTGAAGGTAACGATACTTGGACAATAACACAGGCTCCGACTTAAGGTGTGTTTTCTCTTCTAAGTGCTGGTAAACATTCTCCGTGGACGACGCTTGCTGGAGCTCCCGCAGTTTTAGTTTTCCATTGGGAGCCGCAGTGCTCTGCGGGAGCGATGAGCGGCTGGCAAATCCTTCAGCAGAGCTGGGGGAAGAGGACGGAATGGGCTGGCTGGGAGCTACCAGCAAGGACTCGGAGGAGCTGCCGAGCGACGGCGCAGAATTATCCGGTCGCCTGTATTTATCTCTTTTTGGCGGGGGTGGCCTCTGAGGAGCAGGTCCACGTTTCTTGTTCAGCTGCGTCGGCTCTGCTCTGTGGTTTTCCTCTCCTTTGCCCTGTGGCAGACAGGAGCGGTTCTCAGTCAAGGTCTGTGGCTCAGAGCACGCGAGAAGAGGCAAACTGCAATCCTTGCTCTTCTCATTCACGTTTTCCTGAGAGTATCTGTAATCACTGGGCAAAGTCCCAGATCTCCCCCGGCTTTCGTGAGACGAAACCGTAGGCTCTCCTGCATGCGATGCTCTGACAGATGCTTTCCACTTGTTGCCTAAATTCTGGTCCAGCTGATCCCTTTCCTCCTGTGGGTTTTCCCTCAGGGTCCCTTTATCAGTTTGCCTACAGAGAAGAAAACATCATTATTATGCTGCTATTTTATTTCCTTCTATATGAGGCCACAGATGATCTAGGAAGCCTGAACACTGAGATTACATCAAACATTTAACACCGACTCATCCAGTGTACAGTAACTATATAGCATGAAAACATTCCCTCATGTATATACATACGCTGTGTACCTAATCTAATGTGATGAGTCAAAGCACAACGTCAGGCTAAATTAGGGTAAGCAGACTCATAAGATGCGACAAAACCTTCAGTTAACCTGAGGCGCTGCTGTGTACATGGCATATCTACACACATAAAATCTGAAGCACTAATGTATGTGGCATAGCCAAATGTGCAAATGGGTTTTTTTTTCTATTTTGGTATAAAACAAAACCCTCCTGAGGAGAGGAACTGTATACTAAAGCTTAATTCGATTTTTGTTTAGAATCAGCAGTTTCTTTTGTACGTTCAAAACAGAGACTTTAATGTAATTTCAAGTGTAAATTGAATGCAAATCATTTTAAATATGAATTTGGAGGTGTGAATTTTTAGGTATGCATAACGCAAAACAGAGACTTTAATGTAATTTCGAATGTAAAAAATGTAAATTGAATGCCATAATTTTAAATATGAATTTAGAGGTGTGAATTTTTAGGTATGCATAACTGGTTAGACATGAAATGAGTGTGAAGAAAAACATTGTTACTGAAGCTAAAAAATGGGAAAATCCAGAACTCTGAAAAGGAGAAAAAAAGCAAGTATAGTATTTTCTACTCAGGCTTATTTTGAATTTGATTTTTTTTTTAATCTTGTCACCATAAATGACAAGTAATGGCCAGAAAGGTCTCATCTTGCATAGAAATATTTTCATTTTCATTCCAGTTGTACACCCTGTTTCTTCAGTCAAGATATGGACTCAGGCTGGTGGATTCATGTTCAATTCAGGCTGGTTCTTCATTGCCAGAAATATAGTTGATTTGGGCTCACTCATGGAAGAAAAATGGGGAAAGAAACACAAGGTAGAAAAAATGCACCTCTGGAGCCCTGAAAGAAGGTGGGTTTGCTCTCTGCATAAAGGAGGATGAGGAGACACTGTGAGCTTAGAAAAGAAGCTACAACAGAAAAGCAAAGAGCTGCAGAGAACATTTGTGCTACTGGCAGCTTTGGGTTCTACATTCTGAAATAAAAATCCTTAAGACTTGCTTTGTGCGAGTTTTCTCTCAATGGGACTGTGAAAGGGCCTTTCCAGAATAGTTTTAAAGGAAGGTTTATTAGAATTTCTAATACAATACAAACAGGTTATTGACCTTACTGCACCAGTTTTCAGAATACCTCGGTAGGTGGTTAACATCGATATGTATGAAAACTAAACTTGGGACAGAAGCACCTAAACCAAGTAATAGGCTTGGTTTAAAAATGCATAGCTATATACATGATGCATTACTGTTTTAATTAAAATTTAAAAAATCTTTAAAATGAAGTACTATGGAAGATAACTGATTGACTGTGGGTTCTATTTTCATACCTATATGCCCCAATTACATTCAAAATCATTTTTGTTCAGTCTACGGATATGTCATGTTTTAGCAATTGAAGAAAAAAATCTAAGAAATCTGGACATTGTTGCTAAGCTGCTGGAGATGGGAAGGTTTTAATAATCATACTTTACACTGCTTTTTGCATGCCAGTAATAGTGTTGTACTTCCAAAGGAGATGGCTTTCTCCCCAAATTCCTGATCAGTCACATGCAGTCTCTCTCACGTGTTAAATTTAAAATTTCTTTTTAAAATATAATTTTTCAAGCTAACGCAAATAGGTAGCTGAATTTAGTCTAAGCTCAGTTGTTTTGGCTAAAAGCAGTTGGTTGTAATTTCAGAGTCAACCCTGTTTTACAAAACAGGGCATCTACTGATGCCCATTTTAAAATCAGACTAAGGATAATTCACTTAAATAAAAATGACTCCAGAACAGAAGGATTAGGGTCCAAGCCTTGACAATGCCTTTCAGGTTGGGTTATATGGAATCACTAGAGTTAAGTGGTCCCCTTCGTGAGTTCAATGGAAGCTGCCTCCACTCATTTTAATGGAAGCGTTTACTAAGTGAAGACCGCAGGCCTAAGTATGAAACACTGCGTTTCAACCACAGCTTTTCATTGTGTAGATAGCCCATGCACAGCACGCTTTCCTCCCGGTTAACTCATGCCACGACACTCCCGGTGCCTCGCTCCCCGTCTCCGCGCCCGTGAGGCCCAGCACGGCGCAAAAAACGCACGCGCCGCCTCAGGCGGCCTGCGAGGAGCACGCGGAGCTCGGCGTGCACCGGGGAGCCAACACGACAGGGCACACGGGCGGCCGGACAGGCTAACGCATCCAAAGCATACCGGTGGTTCGGGAAGCCCAACCAAATTGGTTAAATATCTGTGGCCCTGACTCAGAAATGAAGGAGGCTTTGGTAGTGCTGCCACCTTCCAGAATACAGTGGAAGGAAATAAACAGCCACAGCATGGATGGATTTAGGAATATTGCACTTGCAAACACAGAGGTAACATTCAAGGGATATTACATACGTGTTTTCACACAGTATCCACAAAACTAACAAAACATTTTGCGATGCCACAGAAAACAAGTCTCAGAAAAGGTGGCTGGCTGCATTCAGCACCTGGGCTAGTTTACATTCAGTGTGGATGGGTCCGCATGCAAAACATGCTGATCACGTTACTTGGAGAGATTTGAGCTTACTGTTCGGAAAGGAGGAAAGGAAAGAAAGCTTCAAGCGCCAGCAGAGCACAGCAGCACCAACCTGCAAAGGCGTTACGTTATTGTCAATACTAGGAAGCCAACTGAGCTACTTCCAAATGATGTTGGTGCTTCATGAAACAATGCGGGCAAAATACAGGTGTTTCAGAAAGGAGGCCCTCAGAATTAGGCAAAGGAAACATTAACTCGTCAGTGAAAACAGCCCACCAGCTATAAGTAAAATGCCACAAAGTGAGAGAGGCCGGAACAGTTTAAAAGCATCCAACAACACGACTTTTTACATTGCCACCACTTTCATGCTAGATGACAACAGAATCCAGTAAATCACCTTTCTGGTTTCCCTTTTAGGTCAAAAACTTTAAATTCTAAGTTATTTTCAAGCCCCAACCTGCCACATCCCCGTCCCCACCGTGTAACACCACAGTTAACTAAATAAAAGAGCCTTTGGGATGCAAAGAAAATGGGAAAACGTCACATCACATGGCCCATCTTCGACATGAACCAAGAGCTGACTGTCACACTTTTTATACTGTGCATCTAGTCTGAACTGTAAAGAAAACAAGAGATCAACAGATTTACATTATATCAGTAAGAGTGAGTCTGACATGGGCAGCTAGCATGAGCCTCTCCTAATTACACCAGCTTTCTGTATTTGTAAGGAATCGAGGGAACTAGCAGCCTTCGTAACTTAAAAAAAAAAAAAAAAAAAAGAAAAAAACCCCAAAATATGCTTCTAACTGAAAAAGGAAGGAATTGTTTCATTATAAAAAAGTCCTCCTGATTTTCAAAAACCTCTCTCTTACAACAGGGCTCATGACTTCTGAATAATCTACGCAAAGTGTGTAAGGGGCTACGCAGTCACCAGCCCACCGAGTTAAGCGGGATTTTTTTTTCCTTTGTGGTTTCCCCATTTCAAACAACAGTCACAGCCTCTAAATAGCATAATGAAACATATCTCCGTAAGGGTGGCAGTGTGTATCTCAGTAATACCACTAAGGAATTTTTACCCGGGTGGAAAAATACACCCCACAGTTTCCTTTCAGCTCCGTTAGCTCTAGGCATGCGCACAGTGAAATGTCAAAGCCAAATTATTCTAAACAAGGAAAAACAGACCAATCTCCTGCTCAATTCTGGCCCCTCAAAACAAGAATAAAACAACAGAATATTCTAACAATCCAGAAAGAGGTGACAATGGCTTAAGCTATTAACAATACATCTTTTTTTTTTTCCCTCATTTGATGGAATCCTGTCAGTGGGTCAATGAGCCATTACCAAAATGAATCATTAGGTATAGATAGCTATCCAAAGGATAACATTTTTAGCTGCCAAAAAACCCAGCCTCCAAACTACTTCCTGCTTTTGTCTCACACTGAAAGCTTTGACTAAAACTGGATATAAAGATAGGGTGATTTGACTGAATGTCATATTCCACTAACTGAAAGTAATTTCAATCAATTCAAGCTGTCCAATTTTTAATCTTCTTTACAGTTTCCAAAGATATTCCAGGTCAAATTTTCAAAACCTGGACAATATAACCTTCACAAAAATGTATTAGCTAACTCTTATTTTATTTTTTAAATTGACTAATACATTATACATTAAAAAAAAATAAAAGCTCATTTTTGGTTAAAAGGCCTCAAATGCACGTGAAAATTTTACCATGAGACATAAGCATGGTTATGTGCGCTCCACTAACATACTGGCAAAAGAGAGCAAAGGGAGAGGCTGCTTCTGTTTTAACATGAGATCCTTCTAAAATATTACAAGCTATACTGGAAAAGGGCCTTCATACCTGAATAAGAATTTTTCACAAGAGCATCCCTACAATAGCAAGCTCACTATCAAGGCCAGTTTTATGATCTCTTTAAGCTGATCAAACGCAAACTTTTTGTCAAAAGAGGCACTCTCATTCTTACCACACTCAGACTACATATTCTTGCCATCTCCATTGGATTAGCAGTAGAAATTGTGCAGTCCCAGAATTTAAAACTGGATCAAGGAACTGACCTGTCTCAAAACAAATAATTACATGGCTTAAAGCAGTTGTGAAGCACAGTCTTTGCTTGCGACAAAACCCTGTTTGCAGTCAAAGCCCTTTTCTATATGCTACTTTCCAGCCATAGACTTTTTGTGCTGAAACTATGTTTTCATTGTGTATTCGTGTAGTGCTTGGACAGCGGGATCCAAAAGCACTTCTGCAGCAGCCTGCAAACAAAGAGCAGCTTCTTCCAGCTAGTACAGTGCTGCTTGAGACCATAACAGGATGCTACAGAGTTGGAACAGGATGCAAAGGGTAAGGCTCAATTTGAGATCTAGGAAGAACATAGGGATCTGCATGTGAGCCAGAAATACATTTTAATTGATGTTGGTCCAGTCAGCTCAACATAGGGATTCAGCTGATCCCAAAGTAGACTCTATAGTGGGTCAGACAAATCCTGGTTTGGTTTCACTGCCTGTATAGACGAGGGGATCAATTTACCTCCTTCAGCATCGGTGTCTTATGCTCTTTGAGGCACGTTAGAGACTGAGACACCAGTTACCCTTAGGGCTGGCAGCCAGGAAGTGAGCGGGGCACCCTTGGCTCTCTCACAGGGCACTGATGTTTAACCCACAGAATCAGGTCCAAGATCTCTGTGAACTGTCTCCGGATTAGGCACCGCACTTGCCTGCTGACTCCTACTTTCATTAGGAGCCTGGACCTTAACATAATCCCACATGCTTTTTGTTCCAGAGGCCCCAGGACCCCTAAGGCTTTGAAACCATCAGATTAGTTTTACTACTGCAACCCTAGAGAGACACTGACACCAGACCATCACAATCCGGACATCCAAAACAAGCACAGTTTTATTACCGGTGGTGCATTTTTCTGATGAATATAGTATTTGCTATCACTGTTGACTCGGTGTAGCATGCACTATGAAATATATGGAATATTTAGTGGCTTGGGGAGTATAAAGCGTATTACAAAGACACTAAATCGGAACTCGGAGTACAAAGCTATTTGAAGACCTTTGAAGACAATTTCTCTGAATAAAGACCAATGTAATCACCGTGATGATTATACCGTAATGGTCACGCCGGGAAGCTGGCACAGAGCATCAATCACGGTGGAGAAGCAGAGCTGTTCGCCTTGCTCTGCAGAAATGATGACAGCCAGCACCCCAGAAACACGCATCTTGAAACCAGTGCATGTGTTAGCATGAAGACAACAATGAATGCTCACCTCTCAAAAACAGAAAGCAAAGTAGCCCGGGTACAGTAATGATACAAGTCTTAGCTTTCCCAATTTTGTTTTTCATGTCTGTTAGCATTATCTGCGGGGGTAGCTGTTTAGCCAATCACATTAAATACAGGAGAGTCGATGGATCCAATGTGATAAAAAAATGCTACTTTAGCTTAAAAATTCCTGCATAATCACCTGGTTTTATCACGGAATTAAATACAATAACAGGCGCTGCTGGTGAGTCTGCCTATCCCCCGGATTCTCTCTTGTGTCCTACTTACATGGCAACACACAAGACAATGGGTTTTCATCTCAGATGGTTTCCTTTTTGAAAGTGTTACCCTTCTTTTTCCACTAGAAGCAGAAATAAATCTAACAGACCTACTCTAATTCTGCAGAGAACAAGCAAAGATATGTAGATGGGTAAAATGTAGCCCAGTCTGTCACGGGTAACAGCATAATGCATCAGGTCAGGGTAAAATTCAAATCTGATTAATACTAAATTTCCTGCAACAGCATCAGGGTGTTTATGCAGATAGGAAAAGCTGGTGGGAAAAACCGGGGGAGAGATTTTGCTTAGTTCAGAAAATGAAAGTCCCTCCTTTATTCTGCTGCATATCAAATTCAATAATTGAAAAAGGGTTTTTTAATGACTGTGCTTTTGTGCTCTTAGTTGCTGTGTCTGCTGCATGTTCATCCTAGCACATGCCATTGCATGCATGGATTTAAAATGACTTCAGCACCCACTTGAGCAAGCCTGTTAATATGTTCTGAATGTAAACACTAAATTCAATCATACACGCATCCCAACAGCATAACAAAACCTACTGCATTGGATAAATGGCAACCATTTCAGAGACAAAGGGAACACTTTCAAAATAGGGCTAACAAGGAAGGAAATCTCATTCATGTTAAAAAAAAAAAGGCAAAAGAAGAAATTGGTTTTTTAGTTGCCTCAAAAGAAATATATTCCAGTTGCCCTCTTGTTATATTTTAAACCTCTATACTTTCACCCTGATATTTTGTTGTTGCTGTTACCACTGAAAGCAGCTGCTTGCAGATAAACAGTAGTCCAGTAACAGCACAGAAGCTACAAAATGAAACACTTGGTGAATAATAGCTATGTCACCTGCTTCAAGCACACACCAAAATGAACGCGTAGCTCATCTCAAAAAAAAAACAAAACAAGAAACACAACAACAACAACACCCCCAAAACAGGCAGTTAATTAGTTTAATTAGCTAGCACACACATGCACTCATCCTAATAGCCATCTTTCCACTCAGGAGCTGCACTCACCGCCTGCTTCCAGCGGTCACATCCCGTTCTCCGTCCCTGCCAGCTCCCCCGTCTCGCTGCTGCAGGAAGGCTCCTCCTGCGAGCCGCGCGCCGGCCAGGAGAACAGCAAGCGGAGCAGCTCCCGCAGCGCCGCTGCGTGCGGGCACCGCGGCAGCCGGGCCGCGCTCAGCCCTGCGCCCAGCCCTGCGCTCAGCCCTGCGCCGCTGCCTCCTCGCCCCAGCGCACCCAACTGCCCGAACAAAAGCTGCGGCTGCGGCTGCTGCAGGCGGCGCGTGTGCGCACGCCGGGCATCCCAGCTCCAGCTAACGCACGGGGTCCCTCTGTCCTCCCGAAACACCGGGGAGCAGAGCAGCCCTTCGCACAAGGCAAAAGAGCTTTGGAGCTCCCGGTTTGCTGCTGGAGCTGCTGCTGAGAGGGGCAGAAGGCACAGAGCACGCTTGGAGAGCCGGAGAACAAAAGAAATACTGGAGGAATACAGAAATATTGCACAAATACAGACAATACCACAGGAGTACAGAAATACTGCACGAATCAATGCTGTAAAATTCTGTTCAGAGCTGACAGAAGAGGCTAAGCAAGGCTCCTGCATCTACCTGCTACTCTAATTGCTCTACCGCTAAATTCTGGGCAATCTTACCGGGATTTACAGGCATTCACCCATGCTGGCCGCACACGAGCTTCGCATCCTCGCGAATGTGCCGGCCCATCTGGAAGCCTCGCAGAACCGAAGCCGCCTCAACCTCTGCGGCTCCTTGGCTGCAGCCCGGCGGGTTTTCAAAGGCAGCGCCTCCCAACAGCTGGCCTGTTTTTGCCTGCTGCCCGTGATTGACAAGTTCATGCAAGCTCCCTCAACTCTAACCTTGATAAGTGAAGGCTGGCTCTGTAGTGTGCGTTGCATCATCAGAAACTTCTGACCTCGGGGAAAAGATCTGGGAGACTTCAAAGCTCTTCCCTTCCCCCGCCCCCACCCCCTGCTTTGGGTTACATCAGAAAAAAAAAAAAAAAAAAAAAAGGAGGCAATTTTAAGAAGACCCTTCATTTTTTAAGGGGTTTCCTTTCATTTGTGAAAATCACCATCCCAATTTCAGCAGCAGCCATTGCACAGGTTGTACATATTCACAAGCGCTTTACAAGGTCAGCGCGCTAGGAGGCTCCTTCCTGAGCGCCATCCGGACAGCTGAAGCTGCAGCCTGGGAGAGGGGCCATCGCCAGCCGCCCTCTCCCAGGACCCTGTGGCACCCGCGCACCCAGGCGCTCTGCGCCGCTCGCCCAGGGCGTGCGGGGAAGGAGCGGGCGCCTCCACGTCGCACACTGCCATTGCCAGCTCTGGAAACCCAACGTGCCACGGCCTTCACCAGAGCAGAACCTGAGCTCCTCGAAATTGAAACTCATGAAAACATGAGCACATGAACACATGAGAGGAGATCTGATCAACATGTTCAAGTACCTGAGGGGTGAACACAAGGAGGATGGGGCCAAGCTCTTCTCCATGGTAGTCCATGACAGGACAATGGGTAATGGGTACAAGTTGAAACACAGGAAGTTCCACCTCCATGTGAGGAGGAACTTCTTTCCTGTGAGGGTGACAGAGCCCTGGAACAGGCTGCCCAGAGAGGTTGTGGAGTCTCCTTCTCTGGAGATCTTCCAAACCTGCCTGAATGCCACCCTGTGCCATGTGCTCTGGGTGTCCCTGCTGGAGCAGGGGGGTTGGACTAGATGATCTCTAGAGGTCCCTTCCAACCTCAACCATTCTGTGATTCTGTGAAAACCCTAACGTGGACACTGTGGAGAGGACCCTGGTTTGCTTTAATGATTGTTTTGAAAGATGACCGCTTCAAGAGGAAAGTGTCGTTATTTAAAGTGCGCACAAATGCACAAAGGGCAGCTTTGATACGAGGCTGATATCCAACTAAGCCTCTCCTCCCATTTCTCTTCTTTTTATGTGTTCATCTCTCCCAAAGCTGTCTACTTGATTTCAAGATAGAGAGATAGTGACTTCGGGAAAGCTCATTTAATCTTTAATGTTTACATAATGCAATGCAACCGGTTAGCAGAGTACAACAAGTCTGGTTGTCCCATACAGAAGTGGAAGTTATGGCTGTTATGCGATTGTTTAGCAAAAACCCATACTCCATTTTACTGGTATACGCTCTCTCCTACGTGAGGGGACATCACCATGGACGTTGCCTCAGGGCTTATAGCACAGCGTGAACATCCTGTGGGCTGGCTGAGGGGAGGAGAGGACGGTGAAGTCGCTTCATATACTGGAACACAGGAACTGCCACACTGAAGTGACAAACTGCTCACCTGTTTCCAAAAATGCTTTGTGCCAAATAATGTAGGAGAAAATAAAGCCCACAATACGCCAGCATCTGATGCTTTACAAACACACTGGAGGTCACGTTATCATATCTCTCATTTCCCCACTCAAATTTATTCCTTATGCCACAAGAAAGAGATTGGATATTAAGTGATGCAACTAACACGCAGTCTCGTTCAAGTAGTAGTCTAGATACCTCTCAATCTAATCCTCCTCCCAGGAAAAGCAGCAGAACCAGACCAGAACAGCAGCAGCAAGAATCCTCCAAAGTTTACAAAGTGATCTCTGCCTCACCACAAACATTTTGGTTTGCCTTATGTCCCCCCCCACTTTAATAACTTAAGAACAATTCCTAGGACTTTTCCCAGCTACTAACACTTAGTAATGTTCCTTTGGGGTGTGGGGGGCAAAGACTCCCCCTTTCCTACGGAAATCCTGCCCTGGACACTTGCTTTCAGAGGCCAGTGCAGTGGCTGCTGCGCGCGCAGGGAGCACTGAGGTGCCAGCAGCAGCTAAATGAAAGCAGCCCCAGCAACTTCACCCTCTAACACGGAGCTGGAAGCAGAAAAAAGGGAACATGCGGGGTGGGGTAGCTGCCATCAGGCTTAGAGACAGGCATTCCAATTTCCCGCAAGCGGGAGGCAGAGGGAAAAGCCACACTTGCAGGGGTGTGGGCAAGAAGCAAATTGGATTCGGATGGGGTAGAACCAGGGCTACATTATGGCAGCGTACGGTAAACCAAGCGCAGGCCTTGGAGCCGCTCCAGCACCCACGGAATCAGATGCAGGAGCTGCTGGCAAGTCAGAGCAGAGCAGCAGGCAACCTGTAGGGAGGGCACCTGACAGATGCTCATCGCTCCCAGGAGAATTAGCAAGGGGAAGGCAACGGGAGCAGACTGCAAGGCTGGGGGAAGGACTAACCTGTGGTGTAACATGGAAAGGAAGGAAGGATACACGTGCTGGAAGAGTGTGGGAGCAGAAGAGGATGCAAGTACTACCCATGGTGACAGGCATTTTTCTTTGCACTCTCCCTTGGCTATGGCCAACCCGTGATCACAGAATAAGGGGTTGCACTGGGGAGGGCATTTGGGATGCTCCTGAAGAACCAATCTGTTAGTGCCTAAAACTCCAGAAAGTGGGCAACACAGGAAAGAAAAAGACTACCATGTAGCAGGGAACGCTGCAGTTGCTCTTGAGCTATGCACTCAATCTGGTTCCAAACTTCACCCCAGAAGGGCTACCTTGTGCCAGTGACTGTATGTACTTAGATCAATCATCCCTGCAGGGGCAAGAATCCACACGGCAGCGTTTAGTTTTGAAAGTACGTGACAGGAATATTTTTAAACAGAACAGAGATGGTACGGAAGTGAAGATACAATATTTGGAACATAGAGCACCTACCCAAAAGGAAGAAAGAGAAAAGCGAAGAATTAATCTCACTGGATTAAACAGTAATTAAAATGGCATCTATCAGAGAACTAAAGCCACACCCGACCATGGCAAACACAGAACTGCTCCAGCAAAACGGATGTATAAACTCAGTAAGGTTTTTTTTTTTTTTTAATAAAAAGGAACAGCTTCTTAAAGACTTTTAAAATAAAAATAAAAGTGCATCAGTTGCAAGATGTCCACCAGATAGGTTACAAAGCTATAGCAGTAAAAGTACAAAGAAAATAATGCGATGGCAAAAAACTACATAATCCTTTTCCTGTCTGCGTGAGTAAAGAACAGCCTATAGCAGAATTATTCTGAATGTGGGATGTACCAATGGAGGATATCCATAATTACAGGGTAGTCATGAGTTACCAGGACTAGATGGTCATCACCTGAAACTCGCACTTGAAGATACACAAATGGTAGCTATGATGCTTCTGATACTCAGGCACCCACAAGCAAAAGCTTATGCAGTATTTTGGGAGAGAAAGATTGCAATATTCACTGTGTATCTAGAGAACTTCAGACCAACAAGCCTAATGGCTAAATTAGGCAAACCGGTAAAAATTATTTGAGAGGAAAAAAAAATCAGTAGATGCATTCACTAGCATTTTTAAAATGACATGGGTTTGGGTGGAGAGAAATCCTGTCTCAGACATGTTACTATTTTAGAAACGGTCACTATACATGTAGACAATAATGATTTGGATAACAGAGTTTACCTGGATTTCTAAAAGGTTCTCAAAATATTACCTCACTGAAGGCTCTTAAAAAATGTAACCCCTATGGGATGACGTCTTCCCTTGCATTACCAAATGTCTAATATAACTGATTTCTAGATGATTCAGGAAAGGAGTGAAAAGGTGGTGAAAGCTGCTGACGAGAGAAAATTATTCAGAGTAAGAAACACACAAGCCAGCTGCCAAGGCTTTCTGATCACTGAGTTTTAATAAATGGAGAGTAACATACAGGACAGTTTTTCCTTGCACCTCAACAGCAGGTACAATGATACATAAATGAAATCACTACTGCCCAGCTAGACAAACTTGGGTTTACAGAGTTCTATGAAAATATCCTCTCTGTACCCAGCAATAGTCAAGAAAAAAAAAATCAAGCTAAAGAAAGCATGCTGTCTTATGACTCCATAGTATACCCTGATGTTGGATGTACAGTGATACTCTGTACAGTTCCACCACTGCTTCCCAAGGGAACCTGAAGAGATACAAAAGAGTATGACCAGCGATATAATAAATTTCACAGGAGAGCAATATCCTTGCAAAAGAGGTCCTTTACCTCACAACATACTTTTGAGCAGCAGAGCATGTCACCACAAAAAAAAGAACATGGATGTCAGACGTCTGTGTGGATCCAAAAGCAGTTAGATACTGTTCCTGACACAAAAATCCATCAAGGGCTGCTAATCCATCTGATTCGTAGGGCACAGTGTACAGATCCCCAGGGGATCACAAGTAAATCCCAAAGTAAGGGTACGTGCTTGCCCTGTTTTTTTTTTTCTCCGAGCATCTGTTACTGCTCAGCGAGAGAAAGGAAACTGGATCAGGCCAGACCTTTGGCCTGCCCTTCCATGACTATTAAGGGCATCACATTCCATGAGCTGCCCTCATATCTCAGTAATTCTAGGTTATTATATCTAAAAGTGTGATTTTTATTTAGCTAACATTTGTCCATCAAGTACAGTCAAAAATACCGGAAAGACACACAGGATCATGGCAATGAAAGATCACTAATATTTCAGACACAGGACTACAGTGCTGCTGGAGTTCTCTCATTGCCTCTTTAGGCATGAGAAGCATCACCTGTTTTCCAGTTTCAGAAGAAAAATACAGGCTTTAAAGCAAGCAACCCAAGACTGGATCATTTACTATTCCATACTAGATATGATAGCAGAACATAATTAGCAAAACAGTGGTCTGACAGATTCATTAGTAATCCATATCTTATTGATAAACAAGTGCTAATGTAAATAGGAAGGGCTTCAGGAGCTCTCCTTTATCTTCTTTAAGCCCTTGATAGTAGCTGGGAGCCTGTGAGGGTAAGCGTGTTGACTCTCCTGCATGTCCTGCACATGACGAAGAAGGGCTGCTACTCAACCCCACTGCCCTCCTGGTAGGAAATAAAGGGCTTTCCTTTTTTTTTTTTTTTTTTTTTTGGACTATATGCAAGAAAGTATTTTTACACATAAATTTGTTAATGTTAGAAACTCGCATTTCTGAAGCATCACTTCAATCCAGTATGTACTTGTTGTGTGAAAACCATGTTTTCTGCATTGCTAGTCTCCCTCAACAAGAGCACTTAAACCTTTCTGATGTTCTTTATTATGCTTCAATTAATTAAAAAGGAGGACACTTTACTTCATAAGCTCTTGAACAAGATGAGGATATGGAGAGCAAGAGAAATTGTTAGTCCATTGCACCCTAAATAAAAATATAAACGGGCATATTTTATAATTTACTTGCTACAAATTCTTGCTTGGTTGGTAATTCAATACTCAGCAAACTGATAGCAAACATTTCTTTTCTCTGGAAGCACTTGTGTGGAAAATGACAACAGCTGTAGGTAAAGTGCAAAACAGAAACTTAGGTCTCTTTTGCACCACAAACCACTGAAGTTTGTCAATACAAGCATGAAATGTTTGCCAAACTTATTTTTCACAGACTTGTTGGGAAGCTGTTTTCCACAATCACACTATTTTTTCCACAGGAAAGGGGAGGAAGATGAAAGCGTTTTGCTTATCCAGGACCTCATAAGAGCTAAGCAGCCCTGCCAGTGCACGAGCCACACTCTCCGGCAATACTCACCCAGGAAAAACTTCCCAGTTTCATTCTAACAGTGTGGTACATAGGGATTTTAAAGTTCTGTTCTTTTATAGGAAGCTAAGTTCTAGAGTTCTGCTTAACTCATTAAGTAAACGGTCCTTTTGCTATATATGAAGAGAAAGTGTGCTTCAAGTCTTCTTGTATTTCAGTACCTAAAGTTCCACTGTACATTGCTACTGTAATAGTGTGTAATAGCACAGAAAAAAAACCCCACAAATCTAAAACTAAAATAGGAGTTAAGAAAAAATGAGTAACTCATGCAAATGTTTGCAATGTCTCATAAATCATCGCTTATCTCTGTAAACATGAGTTTACATGAGAACCCAGATCTCATGCGTCATGTGCTCTTTTTTCTTCTGCTAATTGGCCCGTACAGGTATATAGTCCTAGCTCTCATAAGGAAACAGAATATAGGAATCTTGGAGAAATAATTACAATAGCATACTATCAAAATAAAAATGAATGGAGCAGCACCCATTTGTAAATTCGCTTCCTGACTCAATTCATTCAACATAAGGTTATTCGCGTTCCCATGTTGCTGAAGATCCTTCCTTACATAATTATTGGCTGCAGCACGGTCTGGTCAATGGGAAAGCAAACTCTTCATAAAGCAGTTTCCTTCTGACATGTCTAGCAATGAATTCGGGAAACTCTCTGTAGGCTCCTGCTCCTATATGACAGATTTTGGTCTCGCACTTCTGGAATCTTAAACTTGAAAATTTAGGTCAACTCAGGCATTAAAAACTATATTTTTTAATTCAATTTTTGTATGGTAGAGGTTGCTCCTCTCTCTTCAAGAGTCCAAACAGGAGCAATGGCTGGGGCACAAAACATCTTATAGAAACGGCTTATGGAATTTCACTGGAGCTGAGTCATGCTGTGATCCTGTAGCTGATGTGGAAATGGCCCTGTACTTACCCCTTAAATATTCAAAGGATTTTCTCCTGTTATCTCATAATCCTGTCTTCAGTTTCTGAAATTATGTAATTTGTATAGACACCGAAGAAACAAACTAATGGAGAGATACAAGTCAAGTGTTCTTAGAAAGTAAAGGAGAGAGTGGCTGCGCACTTCTCTAGATCGTAACGCCCTTCTCTTTGGATGCAAACTGACTTTTATGTGCGCTGTGTTATCTCTACAGGAAGCCACAGACTATAGGTCAGACTACACATTTACCTCTTCAACCTTTTGAAGGGCTACATCTGTACAGAAAGCATGGAGACTTCTACTGGGAAGTATGACCAACATTTGCCAGACACAGAGAGAGAGACCTGTGTAAAGAAGAAAGTCAGACTTCACAACTGTCAAAAGCTGCAAAGCAGAAAAAAAAATGTCCTTGCTTGCTAGAGTTTGGTAACTAACTGGAAACAGAAATCAGTAGTATCATTGAACAACAAACAACAACTCTTGTTTCCATGAATCTGCCGAACCGCAGCCCTAAAGACAAGCAAATATTTGGAAACCCATCAAGCCTCAGTATTAAAAAAAAAAAAAAAAAAAAAAACAGCCCAGCTCATGTCAGATAACTGTTTGCATGCCTGTATGTTTATAATAGAAGTGGTTCTTCATTGAGATTTTAAAAAATCATAAATAATGCTAATTTAGGCTTTATTATTATGAGCTAAAAAGAAAAAAAAGGCATGAAAAAACCTCTGTAGCAGATGAACAACAACAACAGAAGGAGAAGCAATTTGCTAGTAATTCTTTTAAATACTCCACCCCCTTTTCTCAGTAACTCAGTAACACAACCTTACAATCCAGAACAAAAATTTGAAGGAAATTATTAAATATACTCACAAGGAAGATGCTAGTTTTGGTCAACATTCATGTCCTTGAATATATTACAGATTATGTAGACTTAGCAAAAGCTATTTGCAGATTACTAGCTTTTAAAAGCAGAAAACTAAATGCCTTTAGAGGGGCTCAAAAATTATAAAAGTAATTGATACCAAAACGAGTCCAGTTCCTTTTCATTATAGGAACGCCATCTTAATAAAAGAATACATAGCACAGCCATTCATCATCACACAGTGGCAGTTGACAATACAGGAATTCAATGCCCAAACGAGAGATTTTCTTTCTTTCTTTCTTTTATATATATATATGTGTATATATATATATATATATAATATTTATAGTTTATATATGTATATACACACACATACAGAAGAGACAAACCCTTCCTTGCATAAGACCAAGGGCTAAAGGGAAAGACGAAAGAGACCATTTTACAAAACCTCGTGTTATGCAGTGAAACGGCCAAGGACCGCATCTGAAACAGTGTGTGAAAACAGGATTCAGCTTAAAATAAACAAATAAATGAAGTGATTACAGCCCGGGCCGGTGACCTGCCCGGACCGCGGATCCCTTGGAAGCGCGAGCCGCGCTCCGTGCTGAAGCGCTGCCGTGGCTGCGCTGTGCCCGTGCCTCTGCGGGGAGGGCTCAGCAGCGCGCGGTGGGAATCACGTTCCTTGCACAGAGATGCTGCCTGCTGCGGGCTCACGGGCTGCTTCCCCCGCTGCCAGCCTCCCCTCTCCCTCCGTGCACACACACACGCACCCCCACACTCATGTGCTGTTCAGCTTGCGATCACTGCACAGCAAGCACAAAGGGCTACAGAGAACTAGAAAAATAGCAGACGGTCTCTGCAGCTGGGCAATGCAAAGCAGTGCAAAATGCAACTTGATGAAAATACAAATAATATTTTGGGGTTTTCACAAGCTTTTATGGACATCGGTAGAATAGTCTAGCTTGCTAGCTCAAAATTTTGCCTCCCCTTGAGAGACTAACCCCTTACAGAATTAAGGAAAATCAGCAGAATTTATTTCTCCTACCTATGTGTTTCTTCTGCTACAAAAACTGAGATATAAAACCTGATGGCAGCTGTATGTGCACAATACCACTTCAGCTGCCACAGCTAAATCCAGCAGCCGCAGTATCAACAAGGACAGAAATCACTGGTTACATTACGGCAATTCTGCCAAACTCCTGGCCATAACGAGGGCACCCTTTACGCTACACATTCAGTGATTCTAACCAAATTGTGCATACAAAAAGCACTACATGGGGTCTCAAAGAAATGTACAGCTCAATTAAAAACACAAATTAATGAAGAAGAGTGGAGCTGACTGAATGGCAAAACAAGTTTCAATGGCTTCTTCTCATCCACCGCATTCTGTAAAGGCACATAACAACTGGACAGAAAAATCCAATTTACAGTGTGACTGTGTTCCAGTAACATAAAGTCTTTGCCAAGTATAATACTGGAAGACTCTTTTGGGAAACCTCAAGATTTTTTCTCCAAAATATCTGTAACTGATAAATCTAAAAAGAACCTTGACCCTTTTATGCTCACTAATAAGAGTCATCTGTCATTAAAAACTAGCATACATAACACTAGGCATTTCTTCAAGCTCACCACAAAGTTCCCCAAAATTTCAGTCCCAACATTAATTATATCATGAACACTGAAGAAAGTACATGGGGAAAAGGAGAGAAACAAAGGCAAAACAGCACTGCAAAAATTCTGAAATCAACCTATTTAACCTTCCAATCTGGGCCAGGAAAAGATCAAATCATGGCAATCATCATAAAAGAAAAGCCAGAAGTTAAGAAATACTTACCTTACTGTACAGTTCCTTTCATCCAGGGTGTTAATTTTAGAGAAAATACGCTCCCCATCTTCTTTTAAATCCTCTGCTTGCCTTCTTACTTCAACTGAGACCTCCTATAAGTGGTTTACAGCACAAGTAAGACACCAAGTCATCATGTTTCAGACTCCTGAAAAAATCTGTGATTATGGAACCTCTTATTTGTGGCTTTGCTCTGCTTGAATATACATGAAGTCAACAGCATAGCATGTCTTAAGCTTGTTTTGTTTTAAGTGGGATGTGACCTCTTGCACAGCGCTACAGAGCTGCCGCTACTCAAGTTACCAGTTTAGTTTGCTGATCTACAGAAGTGCTTCACATTTACAAAGCTCTGCAACTTCCATTTGGCAAAGGCAAAGATACAGCACAGAACTTCCTGAGGACTTGCTCACATACAAGAACTGGCTTTTGAATCTCTGAGCGTGGATTCAGCTTCCTAGTAACACACACAACATTGCTGTTCCAGAATTTTATTATCTCGCTATCTATCTTCAAGCAACCACACCCAAAGCACAGCTTTGCATTACAAACACTGAACCTACAGGAAACTTAATTGCACATTAGTACCAAAATCATCTGAATTATATATGCAAAACACCACCTTTATTTACTTCAGACTGTTGCAAGCATCTTCAAATGCTCTTATCACCATATTTTCCAGGTGCCTAAGCAGGTGTCGTCTTTTTGCCCCAGGAGGCCTATACTGAACTTAAAGGCATTGCTAATAAGGCAGAAATGCATACATGGAGTAGATTTAAAATATATATATATATATACATATACATATATATGTATTTGGCTGGATAGACAAATATTTAATAATTTAGTTATTTTAATTTTCAAAATAACTTCCAGGTGAATCTTTTCAGGTCTTGGAATCTCTGCTCTAATAAGTTATCCACATAGTTAGTTAAGTCTACACCTATAGTTCCAAAGAAACTCCTGCAAAACTTAAAGAAACAAACCTAAATAAGTTCACAGCTTTTGATGATCCACCGATTTTTCTCTCTCTTTCAAGCTATTCTCATTCTATTTCTGATATATACTTGTGCAAACACCTGCATGTTCAAGTATGAATGCAAGATTTTTAACAAGGGGAAAAAAGGAAAAATACTAAACCACTGCAGTACCTCAATTTTTTCTCAAAGTCAACTTTTATATATACAGCAGGTAAAGTTCAGCCCATGTTGAATATAGTATGGTTCCTACAAATCTCCTACAGCAGGGAGAACATCACCCTCTCAAAACAGAGCTTGTAAGACTCAGTCTCTCTGTTTACTTCCCTTGCCACCTGCCAACTGTTCTCCAGCCCTGCTCAGTTAAAAATTAACTTAATATTTACTTTCAAGTTGAACTCACTTTTGGCATGTCTCGAAGGAATAGATTTGTGTTTTAAGTCAGCAAACGGACATAAAATAAAACACTAAAAAGTTTCCTTTGTTTTTGTAGAGCAAACCGAGCATTAATGGGCATTTTTTTTTAATCTCTATCGCCAACATATGTTTTGTCACCCTTAGCTTTCGGATCAAACAAGCTTAGAAGAAACAAGGACAGCTGTTAGATCATGAACAAAATCACACAAAGGTAGGTCTTATTTCCCCCTGGAACACTTTTCTTCGGAGTTTCTACAGGCCAAGACAATATGGGGAAGACAGTAGGCAGAAACACCAATGAAAAAGTACTCTGGGTGAAGATTGCTTTGATCCTCCTGCATTTCTACTGTAAAATGGACAGTATCATCAAATCAATCTTTTTCTTTTCCTTCCAGCTGGCTAAAATACTCGAGAAATTACTTACACTTTCTTGCATACTGAATTCCCATGCAACACAAACTTTCTTATAAATCCATCCTATTCCCCTTATGAGAGCTATCTATAACAATTTACCCACACTGACAAAGGCAAACACTGCATTACATGTGTTCCTAGATGAAAACATTTTATAAAGCTGATCTGGCTTCCTCTCTACCACTCTCCTGTCTCTGTTTTGGCCAATTTTAAGGATAATTTTAAAGGAGTCTTGTACCTGTTTGTAGAAATCGGTAGAAGGAGATGATCTGGACCTCTCATGGGTGTACTGGGTTTTCTCATGCTGTTCATGGCCTGCATCGAGGATGTTATCTGCGGAATGGTATCTTCCTGAACTTCTTGCCTCTAAGGGTTTTCGCTGCTCTTTCCATGATGCCTGATACTCTGCAAAAGTCCCTAGACGCTGCGGCTGTTCAGGTTTCGTTGCTCTGTCAAAAGTCTTAGTGCCACCGCCATGTGTAGTTTCAAGTCCAACAGAAGCTGCCCGGCCCCTTCTCTCATACCATGACTCCTCTCCCTCTGCTCCACTGACAGCTTTTCTATCAGGCCTCTCAGGCTGCCCTTCTGGTAGACTGTGGGGAGCTTGTTTCTGCGCAGGCTTTCTATACGCAGGCTTACTTGTTTCTTCAAAAAATTTCCACCTGTCTGCAAATGATCCCAGGGCTTCTTCAGATGTGTTTGGACAGCAGCGAGGACGGCATTCATCGGCCAACATCCCGACTTCATTCATCTTCTCTGGTTCAGAGTAAGACTTCAGTTTTTGTTCTGTTGTGAACCTTTTCCTGGCTCCGATGCGAGAAACGTGATGAGCGCCACTCCCCGCAGAGTTGGGTTTAGCTTGCGTAGCCTCGAGGAATCCAGACACATCTTCAGAAACCAGAGCCAATAATGAAGAGTTGTAACTCCCCGTTTTCCGTTCTGGTGACCTGGGGAGATATTCGGCAGCGCTCGGTTCCAGGTCCCGCCGTTTGAAAGAAGTTGCCCGCAGAACCCTGGCCTGGGCTTCCTTAAGGTGATCTTTGTACGTGCTAGTAAAATTAGTATCTGGCGAGGTGTTTACATTTTCTGCTGAATCTGGCTTCCAGTTTTCATTGTACTCCTCTGTTTCAGGTGACCCTATTAATGTAGCTGTGCTTTTGCTTTTCTGAAGCTTTGCTCTTCTCATTTGGATCTCATTTCTCAGGGTTGTTGCAAAACGATCGCTCCTTCGTGCTTGTTTAGTCAAGTGAGTGTCAAAAGGGGGCTGCCGCTCTGTTACAATTTCTGGACTGTTCTCAGACTGTTTTTTCCCTTCCTGAGCCAAAGAGTGCAACATTGGGGTCTTCTGAGGAGAAATTTTGCTACTCTCATCTTTTGCCCACCTAAATTCTTTCTGAGCAGCTCTGTTTTCAGTGCCAAGCACACAGCTTTTTACATAGTCCTGTTGGTTGTACCTGGCCTCACTTTCCTCAAAGCTGTTCTCAAAGTTTTTCTTTTGTCCAGACCTCTCGGAATGATTACTTCTTTTAGCTTCTTCCACTACAGTAGACCTAACATCCCCCTCTCTGTCCACTATGTAATGACTATTGTCCTCACACCCTT